GCAAATTTTAGAAAAAACAGGGTTTTGTGCTTGAAAGTTGAAGATTTTCGGACCTCTTTTCTTCGTTTTAGAACTTAGCCATTTTGTAGTTTACAAAAATCTTTTACACATGGTTTTGTGGAGAATTGAATGAAGATTCTGATGGGAAAAAATTGACCCGATTAGATTTAAACTGAAAGAGTTATAGAGGAAACAAAATAGTCCGTTTTATTCTGCGCCGCCCGTTAGTAAGAATAGCATTTAGTCAACAAAAGGTTAGAAATTGACTGAAAGGAATAAACAAAAGCCGAAAGTCAAACTTTTATTATTTTTATTCAGGAACAAAAGAGCACGCGTGTCTGCTGATGTCAAACACAAAATAGACTGTAAAATGAACGTAATCTTCACTTTTCTTCTATACTTGTACTCGCATCCAAGATTTTAAGCTCAATAATTCTTAACCGTCATTGTGTTTTGTATCGATTATTATTATTCATTATTCACTGTTGATTGATCATTTTGTTAATTTAGTTTTATTATCCATTTATAATAACAGATAAAAATAAATATAAATAAATGAAAAAAAAAGTTTATCTTTATTTTATAAAAGTGAATGATTTATTTATCTTTATTTCTACCTTTAAAAATAAAACTTGATAATGATTATAAATATTTCAAATGATTTCACATGTTTCAGTAAGTGTATTTTCATCTTTATTTTAATTATCATTTTTCAAACATTTCAATTGATTTTGTACAATATATCCATGATTGTTCATAATCACTTTTTCTAAATAAAATCATTGCAATATAACCGTAAACATTTTCATTTTTTGAACAATAATCAATAAATAAATCATAATTGTTACTAGTAAAAGAATAAGATCAACATACTTTACCTAATACATCGGCAATTTTAACATTATCAGCAGAATTAACATTTTCTTGCAACATTACTCATAATATTCAATAGCCATTAGGTAATCTTCACAAGTTAGTCGCTAACCATCTCATTAAACTCAGAATCCATTGTGAATAAATTGGCTTTGTCATTGTAAAGTTTGCATTTAAAAATTCGAATAAATAAAGTTTGTAAGACATTTGGCATACAACAAAGGACGATGTAATTCACCCCGGTATTGAAATGTTTTCAACGTTCAACCATGGTTTTATGCTATTAAATTTGAATAAAAAGTTACTACACTTATTTATGATGTAATTTGTGGATTTTCTACTTTTTGACTATTACAAATTCCAATGTCATTATATAAACTGGCTACTAACTTTTCATTCTTTAGTTAAAAAATTTGTTTTTGTAATTGTTCTATTGCTAAATCCTATTCCTTTTTCATTGTATATCTGTAAATAATGCTATCATTTATTTTCATCACGTTCTTTGACACTGTATTTTACTTCTCATCCTCACTATCATTCTAGAGTTCGAATGCTATATGGAAATATTTCAATGCAAAATCATATTGATGATCATGAAAATAGATGTGGCAATAAAATAAGTGAATTTTTCTGATTTAAAAAGTGAAAATTTACTAATTTTTTAGATATTCGATTTAATGTGATTTTCTAAGCACAAAAAACAGCTGTTTTCCTCTTATTTCAGCCACTGTATACATTTACAGCTATCAAGGATTCTTGTAAGTCGTTTAAGATCAAATCACGCAGCAGACTTACGTCATCACTAAAAAAACAAAAAGATCTTCCAGAAAAAAGTAAATCCATATCCTTGTCACGAAACTACTCCTAAAATTGAATTTGCTACTTTTAATTTGTATTATGTTGCCACTACATTCTTTCTCAACAGAAAACGTTCGAAGACCTTAACTTTGTTTTATGTTCGTTTGGTCGAAAATTCATTTTTATATTGTATGGAATAGGAAAATTTTTCAAATGATTTTTATTGTTGAAATTATATAATCCATTACTTTAAATAACGGATGCTGGTAGAATATTTCTTTCCTAAGTCAGCAAAAAGAAGAGCGTTCCCTGTTGCGTCCAAACAATAAAGTGTTACTGCGCTCATATCCACAAGGTAAGTGAGTAGTCAGGGAGGAAAACGCTGGCATAGTGGAAACACTCGTAAAAATTCATATAGACACTTAAAACTGTCGGTTTGTTGCTTTAAATGCTATGGAAACTTTTTCTTGCATAGAGGTTAGTGAGACAAACCGTGAGACATGCAGCTTAATTTTGAATTTACAAAATCCGTTTAGAGAAATTTTTACTGTTCTTGCAAAGAAGACTAAAAATCAATATTTACAAAATGTCTGATGTATCTTCATCAAATTTCTCAATTTTTCAATAATCCTGAAAAAGTTCTAGCATAAAATTCTATAAAAAATAATAATCCGGCTTCTTTTATGCACCAATTTTTCCTGATCCTATAGTGCTCAACGGCACTAAATCAAAAAAAAATCGACTTTCAGTTGAGTCTATGACGCTTTGGTACGTATTTCGTTAATGGTATTCATGGATCTTCATTTAAAACAGATTTTCACTGAAATGCATAAGTGTTTTACGGATCACATGGAATATACGTTCCATGCTGATTGAGCAATTCTATTTGTGTTTTCATAGGAAAACTCAAAGGAGATTTTGTTACAAAAAATGTAAGAATTGTTATTGAATAAAAGACGAAAATAAGACATAAAACAGTATTTCTTTTCCCTTTCCAAAATGTTGAAATTGGACAAATAACTAGTCCACATAGAAAACCCATCACGGTTCCTCCAAAGTGACACGTATAACTAACTTGCATTTTTTTAGATAAAATGAGATGATAGGGGATAAACATTTCAAAAATTGGGCTCATCATTACATAAATATAATAAATTGATATGATATAATAATGAATTTTTGATATTCTCGACATTTGTTCAATTTTACTCATTAATAGAAGTGCTATTAAACCATTACAGGCACCTGATGAACCAACGGAAACTAAAAGTACATAATCAAATGATGCATTTATTTGAATTGAAGAGAATCATTCTCCGTAGGTAATCTCCTTAGATACATATACCCTGGCATACCGGCCAACTCATGGAACGTTCTTCCTTCTGTTTCGATCTTCCATTCTAAAATAAGCTATGGATTTGGGGTTTTCAGCATTGTCTGAGTTCAATTCTTTTGATTTTGGTTTTTTTAATTGAAAATATAGTAAGAGAGCGACTTTTTAACAGACTAAAAGCATGGACACCCACAAAAACACATTGTTTTACATGCGATTATTGAAGAGTCGCACATCATATGCTTTTTTTTCTCTAAACATTCAGGGTCGTCTATCCACCGATCGATCATTAAATTCTAAATTTCACGTTTCAAAAGGAATGTAGACGATTAGCAACGTTTTAAAGTAAAAGACAATGTGTTCTTGTCTTCCATCATCCCACAATACCATAACTTAAATAGAGTTCTGTGAATTATGACTCCCTCAAGTTTAAAACAGTACTTTTTTAAAACAACCTTTCTATTTTCCACTTGTTAGTAGCTGGACACTTTAGACAAATCAAACGGTTGCCTTACTATTTATTTACTACTATTTTATAAAAGAAAACGACGACCAAGTAGTCAGTTTAAAAATCTGAGCGGATATCGTTAACGAACCGTTAACAGGCTGTTGCTTATGAGTATTTCGAGCAAAACATGCTGCATTTTATGTGAATATTTTGTTATTTTTCTGATTTCGAGTCCTTAGTACAAATCTTTTGGCTACGAAAACGTCTTTAGTGCCAAGCTCAACTGTAAGAGCCACTTCCTGTAATCCTGCTTCATTACTGTAAAGGAGAATTTTCAAGTTAGTCTTACATATACATCAGAGTTGTGCGAAAGGCACTTATTTCGGCCTGTCCTGCCTAAACGATGATTAAAAAAAATATTCACTCCACCGCGTTGTTCTGCAGGATGAATATCAAATGTTTACCTTTTTCACAACAAAGTTCAAAAGCCACCCCTTCGTTTGGATACAGTTACTCAAAAAATTTACTTACTACTTACTAACTTAGACTAGCTCAAATTTTTTAAGAAATTTAGGTTGAGAAACTGCCTTTGATACGCCTGAGTATGTGATTTTCTCTAGCTTCTGAGTAACTCATTTTTTTTGAATGACTGAGTTACTCAGAAAAAAATTTTAGTCAAAAAATGCGTTACTCAATAAAAAGCTTTAGTTACTCAGCAGACTCGCCATCCCTCATCAAAAACTGCTATCGAAAACACTACAAGTAGGAGCCTGTTTCTCAAAAAAACTTTTGCTTCAGTGGAAAACTTGACTTAAGTAAGGAGTGTTTTGCTACGTGAGTTTCTCGAAAGCATCTTAAACTTAAGGAATCTCTCGATCCTCCTCAGAAGTTTTCACTTTTTAAGTGAAAAATTATTTATACTGTGTAACTTCTTTATTTTACCTTTTTTATTGTAGTTAGACTCACAATAATTAAATAAAAAATAATTTTAGGAAGATTTGATTCAAAAAATTTTAAGTTTTATGACCGGTTTTAACTGCCCGTTAAGGAATCGTCACAATTGAGCTCGATAGTGACAAGACTGTTCTCAGTGCGAATGTGAATTGCAAATAATTTGTTTTTAGTGCAAGAGTAAACGATCGAGCGCTCTAGGAGTCAACGGAGAGTATCTTATATGGGAATATTTAGTTCTGTGAAAAGAAAAACGATCTTCTATTAAATCTGATCATTTATTCAAGGCATCATCTTCTTTAGAGAAAGATGAAAGTGAAGTGGCTGAAAATATCCAGGATTTTAACCGTATTCTTCTTGTCCAAATCATAATCAAATAATAACTTACTCGCATCTGGATGTGACAATGCATTCAATAAACTACCAGCTAATCCTGATAGAAAATAAACGACAAAAATAATGAGTGATCCATATTGTTTTTCTAGTTTGATACCGACGTATAATTGCACAAGTAAATTAATTATGAGATGATATATGTTTTGATGAAGAAATATGGGAGTAAGAAAACGATATAATTGAAATGGATTTTCATTACCACAAACTGATTTCAAAAAATTTTGATAGAAGCAAAGTGTTGTTTGTTCCAATGGAGATTGTCGATGATGTTTGAATAATGATAGTCCTTTCATACATGGAACATACTGAGCACCTAAACGTAAACTCGTTGCTCTTGTAATGTTGCTGATCACACCTTTATTATTACTATCATTATGAAGAAGGGCATAAATCATAATAAAGATTTGCAACAGACTAGTGGTAGATATGAATATTGGACGACAGCCATTGTACATTTTATATACTAATTTCTATGCATGAAAAATTTTCTATATATAAACCGTTATATACATATAGGTATACGTCTATATATATATAGAGCATATACGTATATATATATACATATATCAAGTTTATATGTATCTATAAGCGTTTCGCAGACAGATAAGAAATGGAGAAGGGCGCGTCAGGCAGACTCTTTAATCTTTACATTGGAAAAAAATTGAAGTGAGGTGTAGCTTCTCATCTCGACTGTCGATACTCTATTTCTGTTATTTGTGAATGAGTATGGTCCACATCGTGTTACATTATTATAAAGTCATCTATTAACGCTTTTAGGATATTTAGACTATTACTTTTGTTTGACCTGTTTTTTAGAATAACTATTCTATAAATAAATAAATAATCATGGAAAATGACTCGACTTTATGAATGTTTAATATCCTTATTAAAAAAGAAAAAATGCACTCTTGAGATGACTAAAGAACTAGTGAATATTAGAAGTCAAGTCAACGTTAACTTGACTTGCGCAGCTCTACTTAGAGGAAACAGATGTTACCCTCCTTTTTCCAATACAGCCCACATGGATCGATTGCCTACCTAGTGGTAGTAAAAAGACTAAGAGGTTTTATTCAGAAAGCTCTTCGAAAATTCGAGCCATTTTTCTGATTTTCCGAGCGCAAATCGGCCAAAATAGACAAATTCATATCTCAGCCAAATAACATCGTATACACTTGAAACTTTTACACCAACTAGGGTCACAAAGGTACTCCCTACTGCAAAAGTCTCAAATCTCCACCAAGTTTACTTCTTGAGACAGAAGATTTTTTGTTATGGTAGAGAAAATCGTATGTGTATCATTCCACAGAGTTCTTTCCCTCTAATTCCTATTCCATCTCTTACTCGAGGGGAACAAGTGTGTGTGTATGTGTATGTAACAAATATTTTGGTTTTTTTTTCTCGCCACAGGCTACACGCTGACTAGTATAATGAGAGAGAACAGCGTTAATCTTATAGGGAAAGTAGAATACACCTGAATACAAAGGATACCAACAAAAATGCATACAGGAGATTTGAGACTTTTGCAGTAGGGAGTACCTTTGTGACCCTAGTTGGTGTAAAAGTTTCAAGTGTATACGATGTTATTTGGCTGAGATATGAATTTGTCTATTTTGGCC